TCTTGTAAATGATAATTTAATTACAGTACTTTTATTAAGATATAGAAAATACAAAAATGTATAGATAAAGAATATAACGCAGGAGAAGGTTTTTAAACATGAGATGTAAAGCAAACTAAGACGCAGGAGTACAAAAAGCATTATCTATTTATTATTTTTTATATAGATACTAGTTAGATTTAATTTGATAGTAAAGGTAAAAGGTTCGAAACCTGAAGCAGGCCGGAGTGCCATACGCCATAAATAATTTAATAGTATTTATGGCGTATTTTAAGTGTTGGTTGTAGAGAAAGGCGATGAAGAAAGTTAAATTAATTTTAAAATGTGTTAACGAAAGATAAAATTTAAAGAAAAAATTGAGTAAATTAAGTAGGCCCTATTTTACTGAACTCATATGGAAAATGATACATTAAGTACCTCATTGCTTAATATTTAATTTAGGCCTATGTATAATCGATGAAAGAAATGTGGGACGACCCCACGAAATTATTTATATAATTAATTAACTAATTACGCTAATTAATTATTTGGCGAATAAGGGCTATTTTAAATTGCGCATTGTCCGCGTTCCGTGCTCCCTTCACCTAACTTACAACAAAAAAGACAAATACGCAAAAGACGAAGCTACCTTACTGTCAGATACTTTTTGTCACTTCGCTACTTGACTTTATTGTAGCACATAGGGCTGTAACCATAGAGAAAATAGAACGTTCTATTTTCTGTATGCTGTAACCAAATAGTATTACGGTACTAATTATAATAAATAAATTTCTTCTTGCACTAACCAAGTAAATAAAACAACAATAACGGAACGACAATGTAACGTATTTTCATCGGACCTACTTTCCTGTTTGAGACCACCGCCTGAGATCGATAGACAGTACGTTAATTATCGAGGAATGATGTTCGTGCAGACTATCCTACTTTAAAACGCATTTTACTTTAATAAGACGGTGGTTAGCACAACGATTAGGCCTAGACCGCCGGCAAGCGGACGCAAGAAACTATCCTATAGGCCTACAACAAAAATATTAATTGCAACCACATAGCAGCCTGATAAAAATAAGACCAGTATAGCGTATCTAAGGGCTGCGGGGTGAGGCACAAAACTCCCATCGCGCTCAGTCTCCCCTCATTGTAAATGTTCGAAACACACAAACAAAGCACGCTAGATAAAATCATCTCATATCACACTTTTTCCCCTACGCCCCCATCAGGGTCTCCTACATACGCCCCTTGTATCCCCTATTACAAGCTAGGCCTAATCCACTTTAGTATGCCTAAGGTAGTATGATTAATGAGGTAATTGAATGAAAAAATACAAAAATTAACAGATAGGCCATGTATAACAGAAACGGTATTTAATATAGGGCTTACAGCGTCGGTTGGTTAATGTCAAAAAAAAAATAACAGCAATGTTAATAATAATACGATTAATGACAGTACTACCCAAATCAACATACGTCCAATCCAATAAAATGCCGCCACAGCTTGACGACATCGTAAATTTCGAAACTATCCCGAACTCTACAAACACACAAGGACAAACCATCAGCACAGAATCAACCAGGAGTTGTTTATCGGATCCTGTGCGAATGTGGGAAGGTTTACATTTGGTGAAACAGGACGAGATCTCCGCACTAGGCTCAAGGAACACCAAGGCCATGCCAGGATCTTGATCTGCTTGATAGGGTAACTGAAAAACTCCGGCTGGAACTAATAGCCACCGTACCATCTTGGCACTCCAGAAGGACTAGAGAAGCCATCGAAATTCACAAACACAATACTGTACATCAAGACATCGGATTTGTCATTAGCGATATTTGGCTGTCCATGTTTAATCGGACCTAGCGAAGCCCCACCATTTCCCGCCTTCTGGAACTATGCCTTTGTTTTTTTTTTTTTGGTCGTTCCCATCCACATTCCCGCCCTGGAAACATGGCTTTGTTTGGGCGTTCCCACCCTTTTGTTTTGTTTTCGTGAACAATGGCTTTTGTTTTAGCCTTTCACTAGCAGTCTTCTCATTGGTCAGTTTATCCATCCAATCACCATCCAACTTGTCTTTTAGCCTTTCAACCATTGGTCAGTTTATCACCATCCAGCCTCTCTACCCAAACATATAAGTATTTCCCTGTTTGGAGTGTCTGCAGATATTATTATTCTCCTGAAGACGATTGAAGCTTCTCAATCGAAACGTCGAGACTTTCTCAACTACAACAGTTCTTTTCAGAACTACTTACGTGGTTGTAATATCTATTATAAAGATTATCGGTCCAGCGCCCTCTCTAGTTGCTAGGGCTACCAATATGGCTACGGTCCATCGTGTACACGGCGAAATACAACCTTGTTTATTAAAGTCAGCTTTATACGTTATCTAG